TGTGTGTGTGTGTGTGTGTGTGTGTGTGTGTGTGTGTGTGTGTGTGTGTGTGTGTGTGTGTGTGTGTGTGTGTGTGTGTGTGTGTGTGTGTGTGGGAGAACAGCACAACAAGGAGGTGGCGTCTACGAGGAAGAAAAGAGAGGGGTAGCGTGAAAAGGGACGAAAGTGCAAAGGTGAGTATCATTACATTCAGAGAGGGTGATGTGACACACACATCGCTCGCTACTGTGTTGATCAGAGAAGGCTTTTTCAAGGAAGCACAGGGGCAGAGAGCTTGTACTCGATGAGGGAGGAAGTTGGGCGGATGGCTGAAAACAGTGAAAAGAGATTAGATGACAGTTTGGCCGAATGGAAGACTGTCAGGAAGTTTGGTGTCTAGGTAATTGAGTTGGTTGGGTGATACCAGCCAGGGGTCAGCCGGTAGCATCAGTACTGAGCTTCTTCTTCGATGGGCCAGTCGCTGTGCCTCCCCTCCGGTCCACTCCCCCTGCGAACATCAGCAGTCTCTGCTCAATGCCGCTCGGGGCTTCAACGACCTATCTCTAGGTGGCGGGCACCAACCTTGCCCAGAACGGTACCCGAGGCCAATGGGAATTGAACCCAAGACCTCCTAAATGCCACTTGCGGCCATACCAACTGAACTAGGCTGCTGGACGATATGTGGATAGATACCGCGAGGTATGTAGGTAGCTAGTGTGAAGTGGAAAAAAAAAAAAGATATCAAGAGAAGATAATAGCGTACTGAATACAGCTGTCCCCCAATGACGAGAAGACAGCTTGAAAAAAAAAACACTGCGGTGGCTGCGGAGAAAAATATCTTTACTCTCGCTTTTTCAATTTTCTCGAATTTGGTTCTGATTCTCCTAAATTTTGACATGACCCTCAGGCAAAAGTTGTTCATATTGCAAAGTTGTGCAGCAATTTTGTTTTCCGGAATTTTCTTATTTTGTTTGAAAAATCGAAATTTGCACAAATCTGAATACAACGTACATACCTTGTATTCACATACGAATCATGATACGATGTACCGTCATGTACGTACTTCATATTTGACCATAAGTTCTATTCGGGAAAAAAAAAAAAAACAGCGATTTCCATGGTTGTCAACCGGACGTCCGGGTCGGGATCCAGACAATCCGGTCTGGATGTCTGGATCCTGTGTCCGGTTTGAGGGGTCCGGTTGGGTCCCATTTCGAGAAAATTTGAAATTTTTTTTGGGGTCTCCAGGCGATTTTCCAGTGCCTGGTGGACCCCCGAAAATTGTTGCCGCAGTTTTTGGTGCACCGTTGGGCCAACCGGACCGGCCCTGAAGGGCCTGTACTTGCAATCTTGGGTGAGATTCAGCGGGCCAAGGAGAATCGGTTGTGTGTGTGTGTCACTGTGTGTGTGTGTGTGTGTGTGTGTGTGTGTGTGTGTGTTGTCATATTCGCTATACACTCGAAAAAAGCATGAGCATTGGACGGAGGGATCTCAAAATGTACGTACGTTCTACTCAACTTACTTCTCGAAAAAACAGGCTCTCATGGCGATTTCTGAGAGCCTGTTTTTTTCAGAGGTAAGTTGAATAGAACGTACGTACATTTTGAGATCCCCCCATCCAACGCTTGACAGCAGAACCGGACCAGCAAGGCAGATTGATTCATCTGCCGACGACACTACTGTTTGCAGACGATTTAACGGTTCTGATTCGCGCCTCGACCTCATCTTTTGAGGCCCTCACTAGAGCTATGATGGCCTTTCAGCTCGCGTCCGAAATGCGAATAAACTGGCCTAAGACAATAGGATGGTGGCTGCACTAAGGGGAGGGAGAGGTTCAGAGACCGGATATCACCCCGGAGGGAATGCAGTGGGCAACAGTAGAGGAACCACTGCGTTATTTGGGAATTAGACTAACAGATACGGGATCTCATCATTCAATGACTCCAGAGTTTTAGCAAAAATTCTCACAAAGCTATACCTCTCTGTTTGGAAGAGCGTTAATTTTTAACGCTTCCATCTTTTCGATGTTGTGGTACGTATGCACGATTTGGACACCACCGGACCAGTCCATTAGATAATTAAGAAGAAGATCAACAGCCTTCCTATGGACAGCAAACCCAAGCAAACAGAATGTTATATCGAAGGTCGCTTGAAGGACGTCATCAAGCAGGAGCAGGGAGGTCCGGGCATACTTGACCCGGAGCAGCAGATCAAGGCGCTGCAAACGAAGTGGGTTTCGAAGCTTATCAATCATCCGCAACTTCCATGGGCTCCTCTGGCCTTAGAACACATCAGAAGACTGGCCAAATACAAAGCACCATCCAACATGTCAGGGCTGCTCTGGGTAATGAATAAGGGCTGGGCAAGGAAACATAGGGAAGAGGGAGAAGGGATACCCGGGGTAGCTGAAGGGAGGGGGGGTTCATATTGGGCTCAACTCCTCAAACTCTGGGGAGACATTTTCCCAGCGAGGGTCAGGGAACCAAGCAGCAGGGGGGAGGTGCTTCGGCAACCAATATTCTGCAACCCTTTGATCAAGGATGAGCAGGGGAAACTGCGTACCCTAACAGCACGGGAGTCGAAATGGGGAACGTGGGTGGAACATGGAGTATGGCAGGTCAGACATCTATGGTCAGATGAGAAACAGCGGTGGAAGACAGCACGAGACCTTCAGTACAATATGAAGGGCACCCACAGGTTGCTAGAAAACCTGAATGACGTCCTCACCTCCATCCCATCAGAATGGGTAAATCTGCTAGAGAAGGGACCGCAATGGGAGAAGGGAGATTGGGCCACGTGGTTACAAGAGGATAAGCCAGAAGAGGCCTTCAGGATAAGGGGTAAGACGGGCCCGAGGCATGCATGGTTATTGGCTGATATGTTCTCAATAGAGGAAGCAGGGACCACCACTAGTCAGTTAGATAAGACATCTACTACCCCGATTTCTATCTTAAAGAGCGAAGCACGGAAGGTCAGAGTGGTGGAGACAGACAACTATACAATTTATGCTCCGGAAGTGGACCCGGCGGAATGGGCATGGAACATCAAAGGAGGAATACTGAGGGTGTCCAGAAGAATAAGCATACTGCACTACAAAACCAAACTAGGGTACAGACTTACAGGGAGATCTCGCCCATTGGCGGAACCACTGGCCATTAGATGGGAAAGGAGGTTGGAAGTGCCCAGGACGCAGGTCGCTCGATTGCCGTGGCCAGCGTTGAGTAGCATAAGGTTAGGCAGGATCAAAAGCTTGCAATGGCTGATTTTCCATGTGGCGCTCCTAGTCAATGCCTGGCTGTATGAGCGCCGTAGTCACCATCAGAGGGACCAGGTCAATCACAAGTGTCACCTTTGCACGGCGGAAGGGATGGAAATTCATGGAATCTTTACTTCATTGTCTGCTCTATTGCCCAGAGGCAGCATATGTGTGGGAAACGGCCAGGGAACTGTGGGAAAAGATCTCAGACGAGTCCTTTCCGGAGGACAGGGGGATCCTCCTCACCGGCATGGAGCCTCCGAAGACATGGCAACCGGGACAGAGAACGGGGTTCCAATTACTGAGACAATATGCTTTGTGGACCATATGGAAGAGGAGATGCCATCTGACGATAGGAAAGGGACAAATGCACAGACTGGAGGCTAAGCAAGTTGTGCACAACCTTCTGGAGACGGATATCACGGCCCAATGACAAAGAACAAGACGGCAAGCTCAGCTAAACCCGGTGAAAGCCCGGGAGTTATTTAAGACTTTCCACAAGATAACGTTGGTAAAAGGAAGGATAACAACAATAGAAGGATACAGATTAGCCTTCCATTGGTTCGAGAATAAGGATCAACGAGGCCAAGACTAGTGTGTTAGGCTCGTAGGCGTAAAACTTCAGTTCAGATAAATCAAGGGGAACGGAGGTAGGTCAAAGGTTACCATAGCAGAGTAGGGGGGAGGGAGGGGAAGGTTGGCTGGGTAAGACAAGCAGTTAGTAGGGTTAAGGGTTTAGGGGGTTTCCGGTGCCCAAGTGCAACCTAGGAGCAGGGTGGAAGGTTTGTTCCTTTATTGCTATTTGACTTTAGTTAATCCAGTTTTTGTCTTTGTTCAAGAATAGCATGTAGCCTGACAGGAGAAAGGGACACTGGACTCGGGTCCGGTATGAGCCTAAGCTGGGTAAGAGTCCCAGTCTTCCGGGTTAAGATGTGGAGGGATTCCCGGCCTCCTTTTGCTCTATATATAATGAAGCATGCTATTTGTTAAAAAAAAAAAAAACACGTACGTACATTTTTTTTCCGGGTTAAACCACCAGTACATCCGACACAGGAGATTGAGCCTCTCCTAAGAAAATAGGACGCCATGAACCGCCAATTCATTTTATTGATGGTCCATGGCCTCCAAATTCTTAGGAGAGGCTCAATCTGCTGTTTTGGATGTGTACTGGTGGCTTAAGACGGCAGTAAACGATCCCTTCGGTATCGGATGTGCCTATGCCCAAAATGACCCGTTCCCGAAAGCACAATATTAAATATTTTGATAACCTCAATGACACATACTCCCCAGCGGCATACCCCTTATTATCGCAGGGGATTCAGACACTGTACTAGACCTACTGTTCGACAGACATCTCAGAACCTTCCCCCCCCTGCACCCGCCCGCGTGAAACACCCACCCATTCACAAATTGAGACTCTGAGATTGACTGCAACAATCAAATAAACAGCTGAAATCAATCCAACTGCAATGCCACTAATTCACTACCCACCCGTTTTTTTTTGGAGGTAACTTGAATACAAGGTACGTACCTTGTTTTCGGGTTAAGACGGTACTGGGAGGGATGAAAAAGGAGTGACCACAGAGAGAGTGGAAGAAAGCAGATAAGGAATGTAATATGTATATTCCTCATCTGCTTTCTTCCACTCTCTCTCTGGTCGCTCCTTTTTCATCCCTCCCACTACCGGTAGTATCCTCTCTTCATACGATCTAGGAGACGCAAAAAGAGCAGCAGCAGGGAACACCTTTCCAGCAGCTGCAGTGGCCACTGAGCAACCTCCCTCCCACACACCTGTCCCCTTTTCGTTGTAAGGTGCCGATGCCCTGCATGGGCACTGGCCGGTGGCACCCACAAGAAAGCTGGGTTTTCTCTCTTTTTTTCGTTTGCCGGGTGGCCACTGTGCCACTTGGGTGCTGAGGCAGCTCATCCAAAAGGCCAAACGGAAAAGCACAGGAGGGACGAACACACCTTTTTTCTTGTTGACTCTCTAGGTCGGAATCGGCCCACACCACTCACTGGTCCCCCTAGTATGTATGTGCCTACCTGCCCAACAACGCACCTGAAAAAGGTGTGGGTGCTCACATTGTGAGCACATGTTATGAAGATCTCATGGCACGCATCACCACAAGCAATCCCGTGCTCACATGCTACACGGCACACGGCACCACAAGCAATCACGTGTGCGCAGTACACATCACCGCAAGCAATCATGTGTGCTGCACAACCATGTGTGCGTCACAACCATCTACGTCCCAAATAAGCTTCCTGCCGATAACAATAAATCACCTGCTCAGCTGCCGATAACACTAAAATTAATCACCTGCTGGAGGACGCACACTAAGGTCAAGGTTGATCTTTGGCATAAATCACATGTCATGGAAACAAAACAAGACAGTTAAATGAGCTTCTACGTTTCGATACTGCCCTATGAGTCCTAATGATGATTTATTACAAGCCCAAAGGTGTTGTGGCAGTGCTCGTCACCTGGATATTTGGCTACTGAGCATTTCACTTACATGGCCCAATTGCAAGGAAAATAAGCAACAGCGAGATGATAATCCCAGATCACACCATCACATTGCAAGTCAAATAGTCACACCGTGTCCAGATAGCAGCATTGCACCAATAATACACCAATGGAGTTTCGTAGCACTGAAAACCAATGTTTATGGAGAGAACACTCTCTCCTCTTCAACACAAGTATCCAGTTCCCTTACACTCACACTTGGCGCTCAGCGCCCAGCCTACTTCTACACAGCTACTACAGACTACAAAAAGACAATGCAACTGTTGACATCAGCAGCAGCCCAAAGTACTTGAAGATGCCGCCCATGCAGACCATCGCCAATACAAGGTACGTGCCCTCACATCATCATCATCATCATCATCCTTCACCTATCCCCTGACTTCACCCACACCTGTCCTCTCTGACACCCGAAGAACCACCCCTGCGCCTCACTCTGTCCAAGCCAAGCCCGCTATGGAGGCTGGCTATGGCGCTACCCTCAGCAGCGCCCTGTTCCCCTACACGACCGCACATGTGTTGCCCCTTGCTCCTCTGCCGGCAGTCAGCCTGCGAGCTTTTGCTCCAGCAGCGCTGCCGCCCAGCCAGCAAGTGCCCGAATGAGCTGCCTGGCCAGAGCTCTTTCCTTTATGGAAAAGAGCTGGCCAGCTCTCGCAGGCTGGCTGGGCTGGCCTGGGCCCAGCAGCTTCCGGAAGGCCCCAGGATGCTGTCTGGATGCAGCAGCTACTGGGCTGCTGGGCCTCGTTCGGTTGGGSGCCCAACTGTCTCTGTATGAGGCTGCGAATCACGACCAGGGCCTGCATTCTTTGGAAAGGCCCGGTAGGCCGTGGAAATGTCTTCGGTACTCGGCCTGTGTTTCTTTCAACCAACTGGCDCDTMRCAACTGCCTGGACCCCAAATATGAAATTGACAGTCGAGGGCCTCTTGCAAAAAGCCAGGCCCGCCTTCACTTAGGGCGGGCACCTCCGCCTTCACTTAGGGCGGGTAAGGCTGCAGACAGGGCCCCGTAGGCCTACCGAGGACACTGATCCTCGCATTCCCTCCTCCTTAACTTCATGAGTCCTCTGAGAAGTCTCTTATTCTGCAGGCATCTTCCCTTTTCGTTCTCTTTCATAGCCTGCAATCACTTGAGGCGCTGTTCTCATGAGTTCTTCCCGTGTAAACCAGCGTTCTTCCTTGGGATCGAGGTGATGTCTGAAGCTCACCCGGTACTGCATTCTCTGTTTAGGAGGTCGCCCTCTACCTGATGGTCGAGGAACAGGCATCATTCGATGCTCGACGATCTGGTCAATGTCCACTTCGCCATCCATGGTTGGGGGCAGCATTGATCTCCGAGAGGGAAATTGGTCTGTGGCAGAAAAAGGTGCCAGCTTTGACGCATGGAAAACAAGATAAGTCCGTAAGTGAGCAGGGATGCGAATCACGTATGAAGGCCCATCCGGTTGATCCCCTATAATATCTAAGATCTCCCAGGGCCCAAAGTACTGAGGCATCAGTTTTCTTGAGATCCCTATTTCTTGTCCCAGTTCAGATGATTTCACCCAGACTCTCTCACCTACATGAAAGTTAGAAGGTCGTCTATGTTTGTTCTCAGATGCGATCATCGCATGTTGAGACTTCTGAATATGTTCAACGGCCTGCTGCAGCATCTGCTCATATTTGACACCAAACTCTATGCTGCCAGGTGCTGCAGTAGGTTGTCTTTCTGGTAACAGAAAGTCAAGCGCAGATTTGGGCTTCCAACCAAGATGTAGCTGGTTGGGAGCCATACCGGTGGTGTTGTGCACAACATTGTTGTACACGCTGGCGACGAGAGGTAACTTCTCGTCCCAGTCATCCTGGCTTGGCTTAATATAATGCCTAAGTAGGTGCTGCACTACCCGGTTCATCTGTCCTGCTTGGCCATTGGACTCAGGGTGATTCCCTGACGTCATCTGGAGCTTTGTGCCCATTTGCTCAGCAGTTGACTGCCACAGTTCACTTGTGAACCTGACATCCCTATCACTAACGATAGACGTAGGCAAACCGAAATCACGAACCCAATTGTCCATAAACAGTTTGATGACGTGGTCAGTTTTAGTTGTTTCTGGCATAGCGATTAGTCTTGCATACTTAGTAAAACGGTCCACTATTACGAAGATGTGTCTCTTTCCAGACTTACTGGTCACAAGGGTATCCATGAAGTCCAAGGACACACTTCGACCAGGACCTCCAGGAATCGGCAAGGGCTTGATGAGCCCAAGCGGAGCCTGAGTCCTTGGTTTGTCTCTTTGGCAAACCTGGCAGGTTTCAACATAACGTTTTGCATCTTCCATCATAGAGGGCCACCAGAATCTCTAAACTAAGTTTGTTGTTGTCTTTTTATAGCCAAAATGACCAGTTGCATCGTGACATTCTCCTAAGAATAAACTACGCAACGACTCACTACTGGGGACACACAATCTTTTATTCCCCGCCTTATCAAGGAACAACAAGTCGTCTACCATCGTAAATTCGTCCAAAGTCTTTTTATCCTTTGCCTTGAACCTACGAATGATCTGTGACATGACTGGGTCTCCCTGATAGGCTTCCACCAACGATCGAGTGAGGTCATTAGATATGCCAAACTCAGTTACTAGCGCGCCCAGATAATCTGCCCTTCTTGATAGCGGATCAGCCACTTTGTTGTATGTACCCTTGATAGGATCAAGTTGATAGTCATACATGTCTATCACTTGAATCCATCTCTTGAGTGCGTCCGACAAGACTGGTTGTGTCTTGATCCAGCGCAAAGTCTCATGGTCAGATCTTACGTAGAAGAACCTTCCTAGGAGGTAATGTCTCCAATGAACTAGCGCTCGGTACAGGGCGTAGAGCTCTCTTTCGTAAGTGGACTTAGCCAACTTCTGAGATGGCATCTTCTTGCTCATATACTCGATCGGTCTCAACTTGGGCCCTTTCTGTTGCGCAAGGACCGCGCCTATGCCATATTGGCTAGCGTCTGTGGTCACAACAAACGGCTTGTCAGGATCAGTAAGTTTGAGAACTTCGTAGTGTGTCAGAGCATACTTCAATTTCTTGAAGCTTGCTTCACACTCCTCAGTCCACTCCCAAGGGGTGTCAAGTCGAGTTAGATCTGTCAATGAGGAAGCTATAGTACTATAGTTTTTCACAAACGGACGATAGTAGCCCGTCATCCCCAAAAACGATCTGACCTCAGTAACAGTTTGAGGTCTGGGCCAGTCACGTATGCTGGCCACTTTTGCATCTTCCGGCCTCAATCCATCTGCTGAGATTTCATGACCCAAGTACATGATCTTGGTGCGACCAAACTCACATTTATCCAAGTTTACCTTGTACTGGTGCTGTCTTAGGAGACCTAGCACTATTTTTAAGTGCTCAGCGTGCTCCTCTACAGTCCTACTGAAGATGAGAATATCATCGAGGTACACGACGATAAACTTGTCCAAGTAATCATGAAAGATCCTATTCATCGCGTGTTGGAATGTATCAGGTGCATTGCATAGGCCAAGAGGCATCACCACAAACTCGTACAGACCGTACCTGGTCTGAAATGCGGTTTTGTGTTGGTCCTCCGACCTAACGGCAATTTGATGGTATCCGGACTTCAGATCTATCTTTGTGAAGTACCGACATCCCTGCACTCTATCCAAGAGGTCGTCAATGCGGCGTAGGGGCTTCGCGTTCTTAACGGTGATGGCATTGAGGCCCCTATAGTCAATGCACATCCTTAATGGACCTCCCTTCTTAGGAACAAATAAGACTGGCGCACCGTAAGGGGAGGTACTAGGCTGTATCCATCCCTTCTCTGTGAGCTCCTTGAGCTGGTGGCGAAGCTCATCTAACTCCGCAGGAGATATCCTATAGATTCGTCCTCTAGGCACCTTACTACCTGGGATCACCTCTATTGCATGGACAATCTCCCTTTCCACCACGCCTGTGGGCTCCTAAAAAAGGTCTGAATATTGAGCGACGACCTCCCCTTTTTCAGAGACAAACACTAGGTACATGCCCTCCTCGCAATTCTGCTTGTAGTAGTTATAGAAAGACGAAGCGCACATGCAGCCGTAGTTCTCCACTAGACTGCTAGCCTTGTACTTTTGCAGCCTAACGGTCCTACCATTTGGCAACTTGTGTATCAACACCTTTCTATCCCAATCAAATTGTGGTTGCGGGACTTCGAGGTAGTACATGCCCAGTAACATGTCGAATGGCAGTTCGTCGCTAACCAGGAAGGAGATCTTATGGATCACTTCCCCTCCTCCATAGGAGAAGGAACAGGCTACGTCCTTGACATAGTCTTTTACTACCATCTTGTGCTTGTTGGCTAGCGTAGAAGCTACAGTTCTGCTAAGCCGCTACACTTGGTCCCCTAAGCGCAGTCTATCCACACAAACACGACTGATGAAATTTCGTGGAGAGCCTGTGTCTGCGAAGGCGCCAATCTACCACGAAATGTTCACCCTTTGGACCTCCACTCATCATCGCCCAAGAGTCCCTGGGGTCCTTTCCTGACCACTCAGTCTCTAACTCTTCTAGGGCCTCAGACACATCTCTCGAACAGAGCGTCGGTGGGTCCGAATGTGTCTGCGGGGCGATACGTGGGTCACTAGCCTTGGCCAACGCCTGAAGTGGGGAAGGCAACGT